ACCGGGATAATGAAACAGGACATACTTCTACATTCCATCTACTCTTCGTCGGATTCTTTTCCCCACGGAGTTTTTTTTTTTAATCCGCTCTGATGACACCAAACATCAGTCAGCTGGACTTCATGTTTTAACTTGTTTTTATTATGACAAAGGGAGAAGATAACTCACCCACTGCACGTGTGAACTTGTAACACTGTGTTTTAAAGTGTCATTTTGATATACAGAGAGAGAGAGAGAAATGGGGTTTAACGTCCACTCGACACAAACTAAGTCATTTCGGGACTAACATTTTGATATACAAGAACTTATTTTTTCTTTTCTCTATGTTTTTACCCATTCCTTTTTTTATATATATGTAAATTTAATTTAACCTTTCGATAATATCATATCATCATGTATTGGACGTTAAATTTGTAATAAACAACAACAACATCTTAGTCGAATTCCAACAATCAAGGGTTCTTTTACGTGCATGCGAACGTATACAAAGGAGACCCTCGGGGTTTTGTACCAAGCGAACTGTCAAGGATCCTTTCACGCGCATGCGAACGAGTACAAAGTATACCCTCGGCGTCTTGCACCATCTGAACTGTCAAGGCGTCTTTTACGTGCATGCGAACGAACTCAGTATCTAGTTTTATTTAAAAACTAACCAATAATTATAGATAACTTCAGAAATTTAAAAATAAAGATAAAACAAGAAAGGATCTAAAAAAAAATATAACTGGAAAGCTTATTTAAAGTTCAATTATTGTAATAGAAAATATGACCGCGTTACAAGAAAGTCCTCTTAGTGTTCCGGAAATTAGGTTCTGATTTAGAGAAACTTAAAAAATATATATAGAACAATCTTGGGACTACTCGTAAATGGTACCTTGGGGAACGTAATGCAAAATGTCACATGAGACAATAGGTATCACAATTTTAAAGTTCAATTATTGTAATAGAATATATGACCGCGTTAAAAGGAAGTCCTCTTACTGTTCCGGAAACTAGGTTCTGATTTACAGGAACTTAAAAAATATAGAACAATCTTGAGACTACTCGTAAATGGTACCTTGGGGAACGTAATGCAAAATGTCACATGAGACAATAGGTATCACAATTTTAAAGTTCAATTATTGTAATAGAATATATGACCGCGTTAAAAGGAAGTCCTCTTACTGTTCCGGAAAATAGGTTCTGATTTACAGGAACTTAAAAAATATAGAACAATCTTGAGACTACTCGTAAATGGTACCACGGGGAACGTAATGCAAAATGTCACATGAGACAATAGGTATCACAATTTTAAAGTTCAATTATTGTAATAGAATATATGACCGCGTTAAAAGGAAGTCCTCTTACTGTTCCGGAAACTAGGTTCTGATTTACAGGAACTTAAAAAATATAGAACAATCTTGAGACTACTCGTAAATGGTACCTTGGGGAACGTAATGCAAAATGTCACATGAGACAATAGGTATCACAATTTTAAAGTTCAATTATTGTAATAGAATATATGACCGCGTTAAAAGGAAGTCCTCTTACTGTTCCGGAAACTAGGTTCTGATTTACAGGAACTTAAAAAATATAGAACAATCTTGAGACTACTCGTAAATGGTACCTTGGGGAACGTAATGCAAAATGTCACATGAGACAATAGGTATCACAATTTTAAAGTTCAATTATTGTAATAGAATATATGACCGCGTTAAAAGGAAGTCCTCTTACTGTTCCGGAAAATAGGTTCTGATTTACAGGAACTTAAAAAATATAGAACAATCTTGAGACTACTCGTAAATGGTACCACGGGGAACGTAATGCAAAATGTCACATGAGACAATAGGTATCACAATTTTAAAGTTCAATTATTGTAATAGAATATATGACCGCGTTAAAAGGAAGTCCTCTTACTGTTCCGGAAACTAGGTTCTGATTTACAGGAACTTAAAAAATATAGAACAATCTTGAGACTACTCGTAAATGGTACCTTGGGGAACGTAATGCAAAATGTCACATGAGACAATAGGTATCACAATTTTAAAGTTCAATTATTGTAATAGAATATATGACCGCGTTAAAAGGAAGTCCTCTTACTGTTCCGGAAACTAGGTTCTGATTTACAGGAACTTAAAAAATATAGAACAATCTTGAGACTACTCGTAAATGGTACCTTGGGGAACGTAATGCAAAATGTCACATGAGACAATAGGTATCACAATTTTAAAGTTCAATTATTGTAATAGAATATATGACCGCGTTAAAAGGAAGTCCTCTTACTGTTCCGGAAAATAGGTTCTGATTTACAGGAACTTAAAAAATATAGAACAATCTTGAGACTACTCGTAAATGGTACCACGGGGAACGTAATGCAAAATGTCACATGAGACAATAGGTATCACAATTTTAAAGTTCAATTATTGTAATAGAATATATGACCGCGTTAAAAGGAAGTCCTCTTACTGTTCCGGAAACTAGGTTCTGATTTACAGGAACTTAAAAAATATAGAACAATCTTGAGACTACTCGTAAATGGTACCTTGGGGAACGTAATCAAAATATCACATGAGACAAAAGGTATCAAAATTTTCTTTTTAATTTAAAAACCGTGTGAATATCAGGAGTACTAATCTGAATTTTCATCAAGAACGGCTCTTAAAGATTTATACTTTATTAGAATGACGAAACGCATCAGAAGAAAATATATCATATTTCACATTGAGTGTGAGATACCGTGAATAAATTATTATACACCAGATCCAATAGTGTGTTTTAATAAGTGTAGGAAAGTCAACCGGGGGTGTTAATTGGTATAGACAACTTATCGTCACGAAATCGTAGAAAGTTCATCAATATTGTATCCAAATTCTATGATAAATCGGGAAAAAAGAGCGTCCTGGCCTATAATATGTATATAGATAAAAATCGCAATAATTTTGTTATGAAAATCTAGGTTAGATGCCGTGATTTTATCATCCCTGGTGGAGTCGATTAAAATGTCAAAGGTCAGACTATAGTTCTGTACCTGAGATTTGGTTTATATACGGTTTGGTTATTGTTTACTGGTGTTTACTTAAAGTAGCTAAGCCTCTAATTCAGTATCATCCAAAACCTTCAACATTGATTGAAAACACGAATTATTTGTAAATTTTAAACAACATTGGTGTGGTGATCTTACCGGGAAAAGATGGGCTTCTGATATCCAATATTTAAGACAAAATAAACATTTTACGATTGGTACACGAATCGTGTACCATAATGCGTTTCAGCGCAATTTATAACAAGCGACCCGAAGAACGAGGTTAGACATATTGCACAAGTCATGTCAAACGGTGACCCCATATTCTTATCTGGGGAGCATGCGCAATAAATACTATCGGTATAGATTGAAATAATCAGTCGCTAGAGATTACCATTCGGTTGAGACTTCTGGCGTATTTCGCTGGACAAAACTGCTTTGAAATTAGAGTAAAAACGGAAACGATTGAATGTAAATCAGTTTATTTACATTCATATTACATTATTATATACGTTTGGAAACCCATGTGTGTCAATTTGTAGGTCCGAAATATTAGCGATTTAGCTCTTTTAAACAGTGTTTATTTAGAAGATTTACATTATGAATGGGATACAAAAATAAGCCAAAGGGGTAAATATATCAATTGCCCCCCCCCCCTGTGCTCGTATAATATATGTAAAATTCCCAATAAAAAACTTCGAGATTAGGGTATCATGGGGAGGGTTGGGTGAGGGTGGGGTGCATCCCGAGTTTTTTTACTGCCAGATTAACCAAGGTGTAAAACCATATAGCTGAAATAGGGCCGCCAATATGGGTTCCGCAATAAATTTACAAATAATATTTTAATCCCTTCATTAATCAGAAAACAAATCTATTTTAATTAAAGTAATTTGTTTCATTTCGAAGATTTTGTTTAAGTATCATTTTTATTTTGAATTTCACATATCTAACTTTTTCTGTGGTCATAATCCGGTCCTTCTGTATGTCGTCATGTATGATACGACAGACTTTCGGCTTAAGGTGGTGGTCAAACATCAGTGTTACTGCCAGTGGTCATCTTGATCGATAGCTATCATAGTTTACACTACTAGATTAAATCAAATGGCGGTTATTGGAGATAATACGCGATAGACGACTGTTCTATGTAGTGTCATCATCAGACAACAAGTTTATTGTTGTGAGCATATGACTAACGACTAGGGTCTCGTGGCCTTTCGGTTCTTACATCGGGTTTTCTGAGGATGACCATCAGTATTGATCTCCGATCGGAATTACACCCGGGAGGAACTATGAGTACCAACTATTGATGATGGTTCTCGGCTTTGTCTTTTGTCGTTTTGGTTATTCAGTTTTCCCGCATTTTCTGTTAATTTGTTATTCCAGAAATCATGTGTGCATGTCTGTTAATTTAGTATTTGAGTGGCATTTAGCGAATAAGCACGGTAAAAAACACAACAAAACTTATATGGAAAACTATCTGGTTTTCGACAAGTGTTCACTTGTTGTTTTCATGCACAAGAGAACATCTGTCGAAGCTTCGTGCTATTTTTGTACAAGCCAGTAATATTTTTCCATAGAAATTGTGTTGTGATTTTGTCTGTTAATTTGGTATTCCAGAATATCCAGGTATGAATAAATGTCTGTTAATTTGGTATTCCAGAATATCCAGGTATAAATATCTGTTAATTTGATATTCCAGAATATCCAGATGTAAATCTCTATTAATTTAGGATTCAAAAACACCCAGGTGTACACCCCTTTTTATTTAGTATCTACAAGTAAATATCTGTTAATCTGGCATTCCAGAACATTAAGGTATAAGTATATGTTAATTTAGTATCCAGGTGTAAATATTTATTAATCTAATATTCCAGAATATCCAGGTGTGAATTTCTATTAAATTGGTATTCCAGAATATCCAGCTGGGCAATCCAACTACATGTACGACAAACACGACGACGAATATTTTCTACCAAAGCAAAAGTAAACTGAGTCTTACCTCAATAATGTTATATCTATTTACGTCACAGAAATCTCTGGCCCCGATCTCAGTACCCATATACCATCCATTAAAGGGACAGGCTGTAAACTCTAAACCACCGCAGTCAAATAACATAGCAGACACAGCCGGCAGGGCGTACCACTTTAATCCCATCTCGCTGAACCAAGGGTATCTGATACCATAAGAATATATAGTCAGAAATTAAAATAACGCATGTAATTATCGTAAGATACAAGGTGAAATTTATATGACGAGCAGATTAATCAATTGTTAATTATAATTTTTTAAAAAATCTTAAGGGAAATCTTTGAATGTATTTATTTCTCTTGATCTGGAGCGTCATTAAGTAGAGACATCTATATCCGAAGTAACTTTCAACCCATTTAAGGAATGATAAAAAAAATGCTTACTTGGGGTGTTTGATTTGTACTTCAAGAATAAGTTCTGGGGGTACTTCAAACATCTCTGGATCATGTCCTCCAGCTGAGAGAATTAGGGGAACAATATCAAACATGCCTCCTTTAGGTTTCCAACCCATCTTGATACAAATCTAGAAAAAACAAAGATCTTTTTTAAAACTTTCAACAACATCATTGTTGATTTAGAAAATTCACTTTATTTATAAAAGAATCGACTTCAGAAGTGGTTTTTGATTCCGAAAAACAAAAATGATATCCGGAACTTTTGATATTAGCAGTTTTATTTTCTCCTAAAATAACTAATGTATACTCAAACAGATGATTAAAGCCCATTTACTCATCAACATGAATCACAATACGATCTTTGGGAGAGAGAGAGAGAGAGAGAGAGAGAGAAGAGAGAGAGAGAGATTGTAACGTCCATTCGACACAAACTAGGTCATTTCGAGACTAACATATGGTTCAATTTTATTTCTAAAACTCGCTTGCGCGTAGGGGTCTTTAGTAGTGGAAGGGAACCGGAGGAACCGGAGAAAACCCACTAGTTTGGACAGGCGACCCTACTCCTTGTCACGTACAACTGGGGTATCGAAACCACGCCAGTTGACTCAATGACAGACCTTATGATACAACTCACACGCACTAACTATTCCGGCATCCCCCCTTAAATAAATATGCGGAGTCACCTCAGTAAATTCGACGTTTGAAGGATCACCTATAACACTACCATCAGGTTGTTTATAACCAGCATATCTTACTAACTGGGCATTCCATACTCTAAAATCTTTCTTCTCAACAGTTCTCTGTGGGAAAATAGTTATTGCTGATCTGTAAAATAAAGCGTCAATGATCCTTTATGTCATATTTAACCAAGGACCGGATTAAGATCATTATTGTGTATAACAATGTAATAAAAAGAACAATATTTGATACGACACAAGAGATGAAATACTGAAATAGTAAAACAATAAACAAAAAGCAGAAATATTAATATGAAATTCTTTAGAAAACAGCGAGAATTGTATGCCTGATTTCAAATCTTATTGACTGTTTTCTTGACTCCAGTTGCAATTTTTACAAATTGCGATCGTTAGGAAATCCTCTATAAAAACAACCACCGTTTTTCATATTCCTTCCTCATTTCAAATATGCTTGCCTGTTTATGTGTGTAATCAATTTGACTCAAGTTGTTATTAATACAGAGCGTCTTATCAAATAGTTGTATTATTTAGGTACACACTTAATACATTTTGCGTGTTAATTGTGGCCGTTTTATCACATTGTTGTAGCATATTAGTACACATTTAATACGTTTTGCGTGTTAATCGATGACCTACTCCAAAAAATATATATTTACGGATGCATTTTGATTACTGTAGCCATTCCTCTAGAAGGAATAATATAACTAAACGAGACAAAGTTACACAAATAAGCCGTAAAATTAACAACATAAAAAAGAGAAAGTTATTCTACTAAAAAAATGTTAAAGTGGTCTACTTTTCTATAAGAATGAACCATGTATATTAACTCTTTGCACCACCTGTTTTTCCCTTCTACACGAGTAGGTGGATAGATGTGTGTGAGAGGGTTAATTTAATTAACATACCAATTAATAAGTAGATTAACAAATGAATTTACCTAATGTTTCCCTTATTAGTGGCATATTTAATATGGTTACAAATAGCCTCGAACATACCACGTGCGGTGGTAATATGCCGTGCATCGAATACCTAAAAAATAAAACATACAAATTTCTTTTACACAGCTGCCAATAATACTAATAATCATTATAAAAAGTATATATATTATAATATATCATTATTAAATTTGTTTAGTATATGTAACATAATATTTTTTAACATTTTGGGGTTATAAAATAATTAATCGCACATTGTTTTTGCCAGTATATTTAACATAAAACATAATCATTGACACAAATTTTCAACATTTTGTGGTTATAAAATAATTAATCGCACATTGTTTTAAAGGAAATGTACCATAGAGTTTATAGTACATACAGAAGAACCACGCCACCCATATAAACAAACAGAAAAACAGAAGACAAACCCACGGACACGACACACAACTCCCATAACACATGAATATTTTAGGTAATAAACAATAAAAAATACTATCAAATCAAGTGACCTAGCCATTGACAGTATATTACTAGACACAGTCTTTAATAACAGATGTTAGGTACAGTCTTTAAAAACAAATAATAGGTACAGTCTTTAATAACATATGCTATACACTGTCTTTAATAACATATGTTAGGTACAGTCTTTAAAAACAAATAATAGGCACAGTCTTTAATAACAAATGATAGACACAATTTAATGTTAGACATTAGACGCAATTAGACATTAGAAACAAATGTTAGACACAAATGATAGACACAGTCTTTGATAACAAATGGTCTTTTATAACGAAGCAGTTATAAACGAAGTCAACGATGGTAGACAGTGGGTTTACACGTGCAATTTTGAGTGAAAGCAAAAGTATTTGGATACTTTTTTATGTCTACCAGATTTCTTTATTTCTAAACCTTTGTTATCATCTATATAATATGACACAAAGTTTAAACAAATCTGAGTTAAATCAACATATTATGTTTATGAAAGATTCAGTGTAAGTTGAATATTATTAGCCAAGCCTTGAGGCCAAAACTCTTACCTGTAATTTCGTCCACTGAATTCGACCAATACATCTTGCAGCATTTCTCCAGGCAGTTTTGGCACCAAAGGTTAATTCACTGGTAGTTAAATCATAGCTTCCTGACTTTTCTATAGAACTCAGCACCTCCTGAGATCTTTTTTGATGCGATGGTGTATTTATTCTAAATAATAACATTTATTCAATGAATCATTATTCATAAAAACTTAAATTATAATATTTTAAGTATGTGTCCCTTTCATTGTTTTAATTTCGTGAATAATTCCCTGTAGATTAGAAATGAAATGAAATGAAACGAGGTTTAACGTCCCACTGTTCTGCTCCAACTGGGCTAATAAAGACAGACATACGCCATACAGTGTGCTATGAGGGAATTTTGTCGCGACAGCGGCGCTATGACATACTCTTTTATCGAATTCCAACTACCAAGGTATCTTTAACGTGTACGCCAATATGTACACCGGACATCGGTTTTTCGTCCCATCCGAACGACTGGATGTGGCCCATTGCCACCCCCCCCCCCCTGCATCACTGACAAGGCTGAACCACGTGGCTTCCCATGGAGGTTTAGCGCCGGAGAGTGTAAGTAACGCAGATCAAAAATCCAAATAACCTTTCTTCTGGAACATGTAAGCTATCTAAATACTCGCATAAGTATATGTTAATCCCGAAATATTAAATCAAATAAATAATGTAGAGTTTTGTTTAACAATTTACTTGTTCGTTTTCTTGAGCTGGAGGAAGTCAAACGGTCAATATCCTTTTTAAAATTGTTCCCGTCTTCATTACCCTTGTCGGTGGAGAAAAGTACGACGTTAAATACCATAACGTTTCATTTAAAATTTGTTTTTCTCCGTGTTAATCCAGTGTTAAATGGAATAAAGCGCGCGGGTGTTTGTACTACACTGACACGCCTTATGAAATACCTCAAATATATATCTTAATCCTTTATTTTACAAACAAAAATTTTGATTCATGAAGGAAAAATTAGTTTTTAATAATTTTGAATTAAATGCCAAGGTGCATTAAGTTTGATTTTTATGATAGAAACACGTGTGAACGAATAAGAACTTATGTTGATATCAGAATGTGAGATTAAAACATCGTGTTTACGATTATTCAATTAACACCCTTTTAATTTCAAACATATTTAGTTTAGCTTACGTATTCTAAAGATGTACAAAGAATGTTGAACATAATATCTCAGAGTAAAACATTGCTGTCTATTTGCCGAATATTATGACATTCATGTTACAACCATTTGCTGGTTTGGGGTCAAAATTAAATACTATACAGGAAGCGACTTATCCATTCTGCCTCAACAAACTCTGGGATGAATCCTGGTCTTTAGTAAATTACAGAGTGATTTCCATTTTTCAGTATTGTAGTGAGGGGGCCCTGGGGGTGTCTGGCAAAGAAGAACGTCTAGTCGTTGGGGTCCTGTGTACACGTTGGCGTGCACGGAAAAGATCCCTTGACAGGCGGAAACGCCACTGTCAGGGCAAAATTGTCCTCAGAGCACTCTGCATTGCGCATTTCCGTCTTCATTAGCCAGGTTGCTGTAGAAAAAAAGTATGCCGCGAAATATCATTTCATTTCACACCGAAAAAGTAGGCCGCGAAATATCATTTCATTTCATATCGAATCATAACCACAGTGTCCTTAGAAAACGGTTACACTATAGGAAAAGGAATCCAAATTGACCAACATTTCAATCCATAGAAACAGGAAAACTGTAATTCTGAACTGTTATGGATCTTGTGTATAGCTGATTTCTCTGACTACATTTTATCATCAAATAAGATTATTATACCATTTGTTTATTGTAAATATGGCTTAATCGACAGTCGGTGATACATAAAGTTACATACTCATCTAGAAAATAGTTGTTTTTATTTAAATTCCCTTTTATGTTGATATATTTGATATAAATAAAGGACCATGTACTAGCAAACGTATATACCTTTTAATAGAGGCGTAATATTGTTCAATGAAACTCTTGGCTTGTGTAATTAATTCTTCTTTGGATCTAGGAATACCTGGAGGTCTTTTTGATGCCATGTCCATTAAGGAACCCATACATCGTTCAGGAGTACACTGTGTGGGCTTTAATAATAATAATAATATCTTTTTAAATGCACGTGGTTCTGCACCTAAAAAACTACATTTTGTTCTTCTTTTGGATTTATTTTTCTCAATAATTGTCGAACCCTTAATGAAAGAACCTTTTCATACCCTGTAATGTGAATGACCAATCTGATTAAAATACAGATCTATATTTCGTTTCGTTTTTTTTATTCTTTCGATGGCCTGCACTACATGAAAATCTGGCCGGTTGTAGTGGAAGGTCAGTGTCAGTGGTCATACGAGCAGCTTTTGACCCTGTGACGTCAGGCATTGATTAATCAATCAGCGTTGTTGTTTGTTTCTAGTGGTTTACCCACAGTTCCGTGCATGGCACGCCAAGAGGTCGCCGTAACAGATGGTTTCATAGGCTAATACCTCACGCCATCCAGTACGTATGTTATATAACAACTCTTCCAGATCCTAGTGTTTTACAGACAAATAAAACGAAATTTTAAACTATAAAAAACGAAACAAAATAGGATTTGTGTTTTAATCAGATTGGTTGGTGAATGACATATCGGTTGGACATCTTAACAATAAAAGTATAAGATTGAAAATAGAATGACAGTGAAGTTGTAGTGTTCATAAACTGTCAGTACGACTGGAATCTCTGGGTCGAACATTGGAGATAACCCAGATTCGATTCTCTTTCCTTGTTTACGTCAAGACGTTGGGCGCCTAGGCTTTAACTGCCACAGGAACCTTGATGGTCAAAGAGTTAAGCGGGGTAATAAATTAAAGGACCAAAATGTACATAAAATAGACAACGGTTTACAGTACTGGAACCCTTAACCGCAAAAACCAAATGTTAAAGTGGGAGTCAGACCCCCTTAGAAAAACCTTTGAAATTCATGATTCCTGGTTATGGTAACACAAGTGTGTAAAAGGACAGCAAACATCACTTAAAGAGAAAAGAGGGATTATTTACACCCCAAAAGATGCATTATGTAAGATTTAGATAAATAAATAACTGACCGTTCTTTCTATAATAACAATTCATCTAACGTTTGAAGCTAGAAAAAGTCGTACAATAGGCATATTTAGCTCTTACATAATGCATTTTTAAGTGTGTCTCCATCTTCTTAGGCTCAATGGGGATTTGGGTGACCGAGAGATCTAACCCGTAAATTTTACACCATAAGGTCTTTCAGCCAGTCATGTGTCGTGTTCTAATCTCAGGCCTGTACGTGGCAAGGAGTAGGGTGCCAGAGTTATTAACTGACAATTTACGGGTTTATTTGTATGAGTTATTATTAAAATACGCATAAAAACAAAACCATAATGAATTTTATAAGCGTACCTCAGCAGATTTGTGGTGAAGAACATCCATGTCTGTTTTATCATCAAGTAAGTTCCTCAGTTTGGTGTATTTCTTTGGACTTGGTGTAGCAGATGCTCTTCTTTCTCCACCACGTCTTGGGGTGTTGGTCAAAGACCCATTCTTTCGCTTTTCTGACGGCATTTTTTTTCCTTCGTCGTCGGACACGTCTACGTGGTCGCAACTAGCGGGTCGGATACTTTCGCCGTTTTCAGGTGACTGACCATTAGATGAACCTTCTATTTCCCGCGTTGAGGACCCACCAATGACTACACGTTTAGGGGTATTATCATAACTGCCATTGTCACTATCATTCTTAATTTTAATATCACCTTTCACCACTACAGTTATTTCGTCATTATCTTGTATTATTTCTATTGCGCGCCGCGAAGGGCTTTGACACTTAGCTTTAATATCACCGTTTTCAGAATTAAACCTTTTCTTTAGAGGTCCGTTTGACAGCAGTGTTGGGCTAGAGAGAATTATCTTAGGTGAACCCTGACATCCATTATCTAAAACAGTCTCCTCAAAATTGTCATCGTTTTTTGCACGAACTACATCACCGTTAACCAGAGAGGTCTTTTGTTGTTCCAGTGTCTGTGTGTTTGCATCCCTTTGATGAGAGTCAATGTTGAATTCCGTATCATTCCCTACACTTTCAGTAACTTGTGCTTTCTTTTTCGAATTCTTCCTGCCTCCCTTCCCACCAGAATCATCACCGTTACACAATTGTTTCAATGTTCGCACAGGCGACGATAATGGAGAAGGTGTTGACGCCAATGTCCTTCGTATTCGACCTACAATTGTATTATCAATAGGTTTAGTCACTCGTGCAGACGTAGGCATTCCATTTTCCAGAAAAGTTGTCTCCAGATGAGATGAGAATCCTTCTGGACCGCGCAGCAAGAGCACAACGGGTGCGTTGACAGGCACAGCTTTTAATATTTCCACCGAGCTTTCATAGCTCATATCAGTTAGATCTATATCATTGATCCTTAAGATAACATCTCCGACTTGGACCAGGCCGCTTTCTTCAGCAATGCCACCTGATACCAAGTCCGCGACCACAACAAAAGGTTTGTTCATTCTTTGTTTAACCAGGAACCCGAGTCCACCATTTTCCTGCTTGATTAGCTTAACACGGATGGTATTTGCGTGTTGATCGGAATTCGATGGCATTTTGAAAAGGTGTTATTCGAACTAATTAACAAAAGAATGAAAAGAAAGCTGACGCCTATTCCTTATAACAGACTTGAAGATGTCCACTGTCACATGTCGCGTTCATTAATCCAAAAGGCTTTTTAAAACTCTACTGTCTTGTACGTGAAAGTCTACATGGTTTGAAGTTATTTATATTTTTTGCTTTACAATTTAAACAATTTGGAAATTTTCCAATAAACGTTGCGCTGATATTGTTTCTATGTCGCTGGTGTCGTCCTGAAAAAAAGAAAATACATCATTCATTATACGTTAAATACAATTGTCAATTAAACAAATTAAAATGCGTTAATAATTGATGAAATGGACAATTGGGCGTATAGACGAAATGGGTCTAAAACCACACACGATTAAATTTAATGTGCCTTCCATTACATTTTTGAAAATTTTATTATAATTTCTACTAATTAATTTTTTTTCGTGAAATACGTGTTTTACATTATTTTGTCGTTTGTAAAACAGTCAATTTTTAAATACTTCTACATTGTCTTATGGCATATGTTTTTATTTGCTCATATCACATGGCGCTCGAAACCAGTACACGACGTCTAAGAGTACACGACGCAGTGTACTGATTTTAAAATGTCCAATGTGTCTTAAATATTGGATAGTAGCATTGTATATTTTCACGGTAATACAGCAACATCCATATTGAATTTGTGTTTTCGATTTCGAATATTATAGGGTTAGCCCCTTTATTGGCATTAATAATTTTATTTGCATAATATTGATATTGATATATAATATAACAATATGATCTCTATTTTAATATACAAAATAAACATCACCTTTGAAACAATAGATGTAATATTGTAAGGACCATGACCTATTTGACCAGTCGATCTTGTACGTTATCATTTCTGATATTATCGGCCCATCTTATTTGTCTCGTTTGAATGGCGCCCAATAGCAGTGACCAGCCAGGTAACTGTAAACTTATTCCGCTTGGGACACTCGTAGAGCAGATGATATATGTGGTTAGGACTTCCCTCTGGAGAAGTTTATGAGGTCAAAATGAATTGGTGGATGAAATGGGGTTCACCGTCCTACTTTTCCACACCAACAGGACGAATGAAGAAATGCTAGCTTACGCCATACTGTGTGCTACGAGGGACATTGTGTTGTGCCCAGACAGCGGCACTGTGGTCTACTCTTATTTTGAATTCCAACTATCATGAGTCTTTTACATGCACGCTAATGTGTAAACTGTGGTTTCTAGTGACATTGCAGTTTGTTGATTAGATCCTATCTGTAACATTTTTGCAAGTTTTTTCACAAATCAGCTCAAGTTTTGTTTGATACAATTAAGGTATTCTGTTAGTTTTTCTTAATATTGAAGTAGTATGTGGTGGGATTTGTTAATATTTAGTTAGCACTGGGTGGTATTAGGTAGCAATGGGTAAATCGTCCCGCTTCATTTTGACTATTAAATACTGACATCATACGAATAATTTATGTGATTTCATGTTAACAAATTTGTACCATTCGTAATATCTTTAGGAAGACAGTGTGCTTGTATATCATACTGTTATAGTAGTTTTGCATTTTGTCTATTAACAACTTTCGTGTGAATTAATTAACAATTTTACTTCTTGCAGCAGTCATACATCCAGAACTGGACAGTTATGTTTTCTGTCTTTTGATATCTTGTAATCTAACTCAAACCACGTCAATCATAAACACATGACATTATTGAGATTCTTCACGCTATTTGCAAAATAGTTTTTATGTACACACTGCTCGAAATACCAATAACACACAAATTATATCTCTATGTCTTCTAAAACACACGAGAGAGTGAGAGAACTTGATGGCCGAGTCATCTTGTTAAACTTAATAATAACTCTACAAACAATTATGTGTGAATGTGAATTTTAATAGCATTGAACTTTGAGAGTCAAACCCCACAACATGTCTGTATAAAAACTGTCCAAACCTTTGACGATTGCAAGCCTTTTAATGAGATTTATGATTATGACTTTAGTCAAATTACCCCAACAAATTTTGATAAAGGTCAAGATATATATATCAAGAACGATGAAATAAAATGGAGTTTAAAGTTCTACTTTTCAGGACCAACTGCGCAAATGAAGACGGGCATACGACATGCAATTTCCACCTGCCAACACCATGTATAATGTCTTATAATTTCACAATTTGTCGAACGTCACAAAACTCACCAAAAATAAAAATAAAAATGCAATAGCCACGTTTGTACAAACGTATTAATCGTTTGTATCAATTACTATAATATTTCTAAAATGGCGACAATATATAACAAATAGACAAATTCGGTGATTTCGAACAATTTGAATATTCGCAGAGCTTTAAAAACAGCTCTGATCTCTTAGTGAGGTCCACATTACAGATACAATAGAAAAGTTCTGAACTTTTCGTTCTAGTAGTTCCTGAGATACAAGCATAATGTACAGAATGTGTAATAAATCCCCCCCCATAACTAGATAGAATAATATGAATCAGATTGCAATCTTAAGAGTAGAACAAGTAATTCCTGAAATATAAGCAAACTGAACAAAATGAATAAACTAGATTATAATCTTAAGAATAGACCATGATGGAGGAATGTGGTCGATATGTTTATCCAACCGATTGTTTAGGTTTTGTCTAACAAACAGAATTCTAAGATCATCATATTTCTTTGAACCCACAGGTAGCTGCTTAACACCTGCACAATTCCCAAGTCTGTCTTTGTCCTATAACATTATACACATTACACGATATACGATCTATTTGTTTATTTGCCTTCGGTTAGAAAACACCCCAAGCGCAGCAAATTAATTATTAATAGTTTGTTAATGACAGATAATAAAGTCAATATCGTGAAAATATGAAACTTATTAAATCATAATACATATATCAGTATTCCTATTGCGCTTGGTTTTTTTTTTATTTTTAAAACACGGTAAATAATTTTAATAATTTTATTATTTGTGTAAAAATTTATTTTGCTTGATATAATAAGTGTTTATTTTTTTGTAACACACTGCATATTTATACAAAAAAGTTCGAGCAGATGGACAAATTGAGTTGTTTATGAACATTATATTCTGCACATGATGAAAAATAAACACTTTATTACGTTTATTATATTTTATAATGTTTATTAGGTTTAACGTCCAACTTTTCTGTATAGACTGGGTAATGAAGACGGGCATACCGAGGGATCTTTTGACTGGACAGCGGCGGTGCTACAGTCTACTCTTATTTTGAATTTCAACTGCTATAGGTTTTTTTTTAACGTGCACACCAATGTGTCAATGGGACTTCGGGTTTTCTTCTATTCCTAACGAGGGATGTAATGCCAAAATGACACAGGTTTCATAGCCCGGTGCCCAACCTCCTTTCAACAATGCTTCCCTGTTTTAAACTCAAAGACCGATTCTCGTGGACTAGATCTATTTGTTAAGGTCAGCCCAATTTTCGTCAAGGTCGCTAAGATGTAAATAAGATTAGGGCACCTGATTGTTGGCGTGATTGTAGGTTAGAGTTAAGGTAAGCGTTAGGGCTAGGTCCAGGGTTGGTGTTAGGGTTGAGATTAGCGCCAGCGCTGTTTACATCTCGTGACCTTTGACCACACTTGAAGCTGGCCTTATCAAATAGATCTAACCAATTCTCCTGATATAGACTACACTGATCCTCCCACATCAAATGCTTATTATTTATTGATTAAACAAGACCATTAATTAACTTAAAACTTCATCTTAAATGAAGCATTGCATCTTTAAGAGTTCTTGCTGGAGTTTTCACCCGTTCAAGTTTATACCACTATTCCAATATCACAGCACATAGTATTAATAATTCAGGATTTAATATTACAAAATGCCACAATCTCTTATCATTATTATCTTGTCTTTAATCTTTTGAAGGTTTCTCAATCTTATTATTATTATTATTATTATTCCTCTCTGAACTATTAATCATCCTAAGCTGATATTTGTCTTTATGCGGAATGCTTTGTATAAATTAAAAGTAAGGTCCACAAATCGCCCTTGATACTAGAAAGGTGATTAAAATAGATATTTACAGAATACACAGTGTGTATATTTAACTATTATTATGCAATGAGATTCTTTGCGAATGTAATTTGTAAGTTAAAATGTGTTATGGTAGACTCCAAATGTCTGTCATCAAATGGTGTTTGGGTCTGGTATTTACAACTGCGCGTGACAAGGGTCATATACCTAACCAAGTTGGGTTTCTCCTGATTCTTGTGTGTCAATCTGATTAAAACACAGATCCTATTTCGTTTCGTTTTTTATAGTTCAAAATTTCGTTTTACTTGTCTTTACTACACTAGGACCTGGAAGAGTTGTTATATTATCGGCGCTTTGGTTGAAGGGAGGGATAAGCCAATAAAACAGTGTGTTACGGCGACTTCTTGGCGTGCCATGCACGGAAGTGTGGGTAAACCACTAGAAACGCCAACGCTGATAGATTAATCAATGTCTGACGTCATAGGTCAAAAGCCGCTCGTACGACTCCTGACACAACCTTATAGTACATCTTTCAGATCTTCATGTAGTGTAGGCCATCGAAAGTATAAAAAAACGAAACGAAATATAAATCTGTATTTTAATCAGATTGTTTGTAACGTCCGCTTACACACACTCCTGGTTCGTCGGTTGTGTAACATTTTATGGATCGAGGTGATGATGTGCCGTCAAATTCTGTTGATTTCTATCTAGACTGATGGGCACATTCAATTTGTCTGGAAGTTTTAATGGGACATGTTGTATTCGATACTTCGTTGGTGTAAAACAGTTATAACATTTATAAAATCCAATCCAATACGCCCGTATTGTATATAGGATTGTAAAACCTGGGAGTTTTCATTTTTACGAATGCCGTACACATGGCAGAGTATTCTTAACTCATTATCAGGAAGTCCACTTACTATTATATTGCTATTGTTTTTCGTTGGTTTTTTGGGGGGCAGGGAGGGTCGCCGAATGTATGAAAGTCTATCATTCAATTGACGTCATAAATTAAAACATCAAATCATTTAACAATACTAAGCTTCATAATCCGGATAGAATTTCGGAAAACGTTAAAAAGTTTAAAGGTAACAACTTAGGAATAAAACTAAATGGGTTCAAATACATAATGTGTAGAATGACACAGTAACCCTAATAAACTGGAATTCTTGGTGGAGGTGGATCTGATGTACAGCATTTTAATTGATTTATATTGAAGTTAAA